ACCCACCTATCCATCTTATCCACACCTATCAACCTTGTCACATACCTATCCACGTTATCCACACACCTGTCCACCATATCCATACACCTATCCACCTTATCCACGCACCTATCCACCTTATGCACCCACCTATCCATCTTATCCACACCTATCAACCTTGTCACATACCTATCCACGTTATCCACACACCTGTCCACCATATCCATACACCTATCCACCTTATCCACACACCTAACCTCTTCTATATTGCAGATTCGCGAGTGTGTGGTGCCTCTGTGACTGGGGAAAACACGGTGGAATGTTCTGATACGAATACCCGCCCCGGCCACGATTGGATAAAAAGGTTCTTCTGCACTCGATACAACCTGTGCGGTCCTAATAACTCCTTCAAGGTAATGGTTGTTTAGAACTGTTTTATATTGATAGATAGATAGATAGATAGATATGGCTATTGATATAGATGTATGTATACATTTTTTTTGAAGTACAGGATGTGTTGTGTAGTGGCGGTTTTGTTCCTGTTTTTTTTTTTTGTGTGTGTGTGTGTGTTTGTGTTTGTTTGTGTGTGTGTATGTGTGTTTGTGTGTGTCTGTTTGTTTGTGTGTGTGTGTGTGTGTGTTTGTGTGTGTGTGTGTGTGTGTTTGTTTGCGTGTGTGTTTGTTTGTGTGTGTGTTTCTTTGTATGTGTGTGTGTGATTATGCATGCGTGCTCATGTATGCGTAAGTATCATACACATCCATGCTTAAGCAGTTTTTGACACCTCAATATTAGAAGAAAAAAAAATACATCTCATTCACAAAGTGTATTTCTCATACTGATGTCATGTCCCCTCGGCGCCTCACACTCACGAGTTCCTTTCCCTACCAGGAGACAGTGAGTCTTTGTACCAACTACTACCAGTGCTACAAGAACACAGATGGTACGTGGAATGTGGAAAAGAGGAACTGTGTCGGAAACAAACTGTACAGTTTTGACAGCGATAGTTGCGAAGACGAACCATCAGGTATGTTATAGGATTTTGCGTGATGAACATAAACCAATTCTTCATATGAAATTTACTCATGAAATATAACATTTAGAAAAAAAAATATATATATGATATGATAAAGGAAAAGAAAAAAATATCTATATGATAATAATAATAATAATAATAATAATAATAATAATAATAATAACAGTAACAGTATTGATAATAATATTTATAAATATAATAATAATAATAATAATAATAATAATAATAATGATCATAATGATAATTACAATAATAATAATAATAAAATGAAATACATGGATAACTGCGTGAATTTAACGATTAGACTAATATTTCTTTCGCATTTTTCAGAGGATCAACTGTGCACTTAATTATCTCCATGAAAGAACCTCAAGCTAACTTATACTGTTATCTTTTACGTGAAACTTTCAAAGGAAAAAAAAAGTAATTTGTTGGTCATAATCTTACTTACAAATCCTCTTCCTTCACCTGTGTTTTGTCCCGTTGCATTATATGAATATTTGTGTCCCCAAATATTTATTCATGAACTCACTTTGTTTTAGAGTTTTATTTAATATTTATTGTGTACAAATGGAAGCCTCATATGCTCTCAAGAGGATTCAGACCATGTTGATACTTATAAATTCATTTTTGCATGTCTTTATTGTTAGATTTTTAATATTGTTGTTACGTATCTATATTGTTACTTAAAATAAAAGTGCCAAAATAAAAGTTTCATAAATCCGTTTGCTTTCCCTATCTGTAAAACCCGATTTTCTTCAGAATATGTTCCACGAGGATGATCTACGACCTGTATTGGCTTCAAGATCGTCAACAACCAGCTGGGGTAACTTCTCTAAGCAATCTAAGAGATTTACGAATTTTAAGAAACGCATCACCAGTATCTAATTTAGCGTAACATATGCAGTCGTACAACTAAAAAACGGGATGCCTAATCTAGAACTATAAGAATACTGGCCAAAACAAGGGGGGGGGGGCTTACCTGCTCGCGAAAACTCTTGCAGAAACTGGACCTGGACCTGGACCTGGCGTGCACACAAAGATGAAAAGGAAAACAGCCAAACTAAGATATAAAACGAAATCGCAGCGTTTCTAACTCTTCACAAGGTAGTAACCGAAATTCATACATAGAGAAAATTTTGACAATAAACTTTATAAGCTCTGCTTGGTAGCGCTTGGTGTAAACTTTCGCTCACTGATTCGGTCACAAATCTGTCGTCTTATTCCCTATCACATTATGAACTCTTAGGTTTTGGGTTATCGTTTGCTGCTAGACCCAGTGTTAACTACTATTTAGATTATATCAAAGGTCTTGATAGTTCCCTTGTGAAACAAAACAAATCCTCAATTAAAGAGCTCGAGTATCTTAAAGGTGTCATGTTAAATCCGATTCTTGATTTATTTGACGTTCAAAGGCTTACACCGACGTTATTTTTTACCACCATATCACTTAAACGCAATCTGGACATCTTAACGTAGTTATCCTAT